AAGAGAGAGGGGGGGAGAGTGAGAAAGAGAGAGGGGGGGGAGAGTGAGAGAGCAAGAGAGAGCGAGCGAGGGGGAGAGACAGAGTGTGTGAGAGAGAGAGAGAGAGAGAGAGAGAGAGATGGGCAGAGAGAGTAAAGACACCATTGAGGAAAGAAGAAGTATACTGAACTGTTTCATCTTTATGTGTTTTATCTTTCTGAAACAGTTAGTGAAGCTGAAGGAAGACTTGATCAAACAGAAAGATTTTGAGCTGCAGCAAGTTCTTATGTACAAAGAAAGTGAGAGAAAACAGCAAGTGAGTACGAAACCAGATGGACAGAAGGAGAAATGGAAGGAGGAAGAAGAGCAGAAAGTGGAGGAGAGAGGGGCGGTGGAAGCGGAGGAGGAGGAGGAGGAGCAAGCGGGAAGGAATGATGGAGATAACGATGTAGCCACCGTGAGCGAAAAGACGATTAACGTGAAAGATTCTGTGCAGGACAGAAGAAAATCTAGTCTGGACCGAAAGACTGGGGACCATGTTAGTAGTAAGACTGTCGATACGGGTATTGTCAAAGACGGTGGGTCCAGTTATGATGGCGGTGGTGGTGGTGGGTCAGAGAAGCAGCCCACGAAGGAGATCGGTGATCATAAAGTGGGAAGAAACTCTGCTCGCAGTTCTTCTCACGTTGACAAGGGCGATAACTCAGGCAGGAGAAGCCGGAGGGGTAGCGCGGTCAGCAGGTCCACCGAGAAAAGTGAGAAGCATGATGTCGGAACCACCACCACTACCACCACTACAGAGTCTTCCAATCTAAACGCCAGTGATCTTGCCAGTGACAACACAACGACAACGAAATCTCGCCAGAGTTCAAAGGTTAAAGATTCAAAATCGAGCACGGCTGCTCGTGCAAGTGCTAGAGACGTGAAAGAGATAGAAGATAAAGATAAAGGTGATGATGATCGAAGTTGTGTCGAGGATGTTTCTGATCATCATCAGACACGGAGGTCAGCGGAGAAAGTTGCTCAGTCCAAGGCGGATGACGTTGAGAAACGACAGCAGCTGAGCCGGGAATACGAAGAGATGGTCAAACGTTTGGAGCAGGAGAAGGCTTTGCTCCTCCGCCAGAAAGAAGAGGCTCAGAGGACGCTGGACTCCAAGTGCAAGGAGCACAAGGTCAGAGAGGAGGAGTTTTACAGGCTGAAGGAAGGATACGAAAGAGAACTGCGAACTGTGATAAACGAACATAAAAAGGTAAGACATTGTGTTGTGTGCGTTTTTCTAATCTTGCTGTTGAATTGTTGTTTCCCGCCCGCGACACCCTAAAGGATATAAGCAGCGAATAAAAGTAAAGTAGTGGGTGGTTGGCGGGTGCTCTGGTGTGGTTTGCTCCTTCTTTCCTATCAAACATCTATCGTCTTTAT